ATATAAAAAATACTAATGAGGACACGACAACAATAGATACTGCCTTATTAGTATTCTTTATATAAAGAATACTAATTAGGAGTGTTTTATCAGGTTTAAAGCCACTGCATGTGACATATTATGGTTGACATGATTTGTCAATATAAGCTTATGAATTATTAAGTGGCAGTCCCGCTAAGAGCGGTTCGATGGCTTTGACTTCGGAAAATAGATTTCCTTTATTTTTTGTGTGTTAAAAGGCATTGATATACAAGTGTCCAAAATAAATTTATTTTTTGAAAATTCTTTTTTATGGCATCGCTAGACGCCGAAACTCATTTTACCCGTGCAGAGCTATTTTCAAGCGAAATCGAAGGTTGAATTTCGGTAAAGTGTAGAGCCGCGCTGAGTCAAAACGCCTGACTATTTCCAAATTTCAACTAGATCAACAAGTTAAGATACAATTCAGATTCCCTGTTCCAAGAAATAAGAGCATTTGAATAAATCGTGAATAAACGACAGCAACTTGACGGCGCGCCGCTTTTTGCTTCTTGTTCGGTCTACAAAATTACATTAAAATCGAAGCCTGAGATCTCCAAATGGGGACCTAAAATTACGCTGAAATGTGCTTGGCTGTAATGATTTATACTTATTTTCAGAAGATCGGAAGAAAATCCTGCGGGTATCAAATTGTATTTGGCGCGAGTTAAGATTTTCTGGAGCCCATAATCAATGATTTTTGCATAATTTTGTAGCTAATTAACATATTTCTTGAGAGGCGCTAAAAGTAAACAATTTATTTCTGACTAACATATCTCAGATGAAAGAAACTACCACAGCTAGTAAAACCCTTTTTGTAAATATAGTCGTAATATATATTCTTTTCCTGACACGCTGAGAGAGCTTTGTTTTTGAATGTTATGACACATTCATTCAGTCTGACCAGATTCATAAATGTCACGAACTTGTATATTTCAAAAATATACCAGAATTCAGAAAGACCGATTATTCTTTCCTTGATTCAGTTGATTGATCTAGTTGATTGATTTAAAAAACTATAAGTATAATAGAACATTCCACGTGTTTCCATTCCCCCTAGGCCTAGAATTTTTATCAATATGTTCTATTTTTCTGTGGCGACGGCATAACAAAATACGAGACAAAAATGTACATTCGAATTTATGACCGACATATCAGAA